TTTTTTGTCATATTACTTTTAATATGAAATATTTGAAAACATCTGTCGTAACAATTCTGCCATTATTTATTCCGAAAAATGTTAAGATCGGTTACATACATCGAGATGTGAAACCATCCAATCTTGCTATCGGTCGACGAGGTCAAGCCACTCATATCATTCACATTCTCGATTTTGGTCTATCACGAGAATATGTAATACGAAATAATGGTAATGTTAAATTACGAATGCCTCGAACAAATACTTTATTTCGGTTCGTATTTTTTAATTCCTAAATTTCTCTCATAAAGCCAAAAAAAAAAAAATCTTAAATGATAGTACAGTTATTTAAAGTTTACGAAAAAATTTCAAAATTTTTGATAAAAAATATTGCAGATCATTCGTTCATTTTAGGCCATTTTTAGGAAGAGAGGAAATATCACTACTTATCCTAATCTCTTATATTCCATAATTAATATAAGTTAAAAATAATACAAAATTAGCTTCCTCCATTTTATTCAATTTTTATAATGTTGAAATTAAAAAGCGAGAATTAAATTACAGCGGTACAATCAGATATTGCTCCGCTAACACCCACACACGTAACGAACAAGGACGACCGGATGATTTATGGTCAATGGTGTATGTTTTGGTGGAAATGCGTGGTCCCTTACCATGGGGCAATATTCGGTTTCCTTTTGACAATTATTTCAAAATTTCAAAATTTTATGTTTATTTTCAAATGACCATTTAGCATAATTAAATAATTTTAAAAAAAAATTTCAGTGGTAAGGATGAAATTGGTAGGGCAAAATTTCAAACACTCGATACGGCATTATGCATCAATAGCCCTAAAGAACTTCTTGATGTTGGCTTTTGGCTTCTTTTTTTTTTTTAAGTGAAATTTATTATTAAATTAACTTCAAAATATTTATTAGATTAACTTTAAAAGTTCAATTAGACAATGAGCAATCTGAATTCACATTTCTTCGTTTTTCTTCTATAAATTTTGGTATTTATTTTGTTCAAGCTTTAAGAATTGCTGTTTCTTCAAAAGTATATATATTTGAAATTTTAAATTGCAAATTTTGTACTTTGCTAAGATTACAAAACATCTTCGAACGTTGGATTATTACACACGTCCCAATTATTCCTACATATATGAAAGGTTGTATAAAGTGATGCAAAACTGTAATTACAAGTAAGTCTTCCAAAGTTTGTTTGTCATTTTCAAATTTAAAATAAAAAAAAAATGTATGATACATTCTATAACTGTACAATAGGTAGGACAATTTGCAATTAAAATTATGATATGTTTTAGATTTTATGATTGTCTTTCTCAGATTGTGCTCTAATTGAGATGTGAGATTTTTTTTAAATTAAATATTTGGTTAAATTCCAAAGTTGTACCTAAAAGCATTTTTAATTATGCTAAACATATGGAATAATATGAAAAAAAAAGCTAAAAATTTTCAAATTTAATTATATGGCAAATAGAAATTTAATTTCAAAAATTTAAAACTGTCATCACTTTTATTTGAACTAAAATAAAATTTACATTATGATATGCTTATGGTTTTATGATCATCATATCAGATTCAGCGATCCATATGATTGGGAGGAACCGGCTACCAATACTATAAGTTCAATCAGGAAAGGCTTAACATATGTAAGCCGAACACTATCACGAATACGCTCCCACACACCAACATCAATCGATATGTAATAGTATTTTACACCTCACTTTAAAAAGAATTTCAAAAAATTGCAAAAAGAAAAAAACTTTCCTTCGAATTTCATTTATCTATCATCTGATCTTAACATAATTGATAATTATTAGACAATATTTTTTATTGATTTTAGAAGTGATAATTCGAATTATCACAGATTATTAGTTGCTAATAGAGGATATGATAAAATTTAAAATAATACATCATAATTTTGAATTGTAAAGAATTCTTTGCAAATATATTTCGATGCATGCATTCATTCATCAAATCATTTCTTTAAGATTTTTGATTGCATCATTTAATTTATTAAATATTGAACTATTTTATTAACTGTAATTGTTACAATTAAAATCTGATTGTAGAATTAGCGAACCAAAAAGTACAACAAGCGGAACAACAACTTCATTAGCAACATCCGAAGCAATTAGTGAGGATCTTTTCACGTCGGCAGATTTTGAAAGTAATGAAACCGGATTTTAATCTCCTATTTGATGCACTATATTTATGATCTGTTAATTTATCGTGCTTCCTCCTATAATATCCGTATATTGTAATTACAGTAACTTCAATTCAGGAATATCGAAAAAATTTTCTCTTTTCTTCTAAAATTTCTCTAAAAAAAAATTGTGATTGCATGAAAACAGTAATACTATACTGTCTGTGTAAAATTTGAAAATTAAACATATCTAACTGCTTACATCAATTGAACATACACTTACTCAAACTTACTCAAATCTACCATAAAGCTTTCCCGAAAAACAAAATTTCCACCATCCACAAATTCCACAGATTATCATCAAACTCTGAGATGTAATTAACGTTGACAGATGTCATTCAATATGTGAAAATAATTCCAAAAAAAAAAAATTGAAAATAATTTGAACATTTCTTCGGAGAAGCAAACAGGGTCATTCCGCATATAACCTTTCTCTTCCTGTTTGATAAAAAAAAATTTTATGCGTTTATGATAATCTTTTTAATCACTTTCATCAATTGACATAGTATAATTATATGAGTTTATCATTTTGTTAGTAGCATGAATTCGATATCTTTCCAATTAAATTGGATGAATCACTGCACCTGTATTATAATATATATCATTATTATCATATCAAGCAATATGCCATGTTCAAAAGACACCGCCACCGGGTTTCTCCCAGTCATATGGAAATTCCTGGCATCCCATAGTCAGAAATGATTGACGCATCAGTTGATAAATTTGCTGATAGGGTGGTTGATCGTAATATTTAAGCGCATCAACAATTTGCAAAATTTGCCGCAATTCCGGAGCGCAACCACCTAATAGCTCATTTATTGCTGGCTCAAAGCGACATCGTTTCTTGTATTCACCAACCTGTAAAAAATGATTTGCTTAAATGGATATTTGCAAAATTTTTTATCACTTCATCAACATTTAATTACAAAATTTTTATAATTAAAATGAAAATGATAAGAAATAATTTTGAAACAAACTTGATTCATATCAGCGATATTTTTCCACGGTAAATTCCCGGTGGTAAGTTCGACTTGCATGTAAATCCATGTCTCGACATCATCCTTACGGCATAACTCACGTTGAAGATGGCATGATATTGGCGCATAACGTACGGTACCACGAAAACCAGCTGCCGCTCTCGGTTTACGGATAATATTCTAGAAAATATCATAGAATTAATTATTTTAAGATAATAATCATATAATTTTCGTTTAACTAAATTTGTAAATTTATTATCATATGGCAATATTTGTTTTTTTCAAAATTACTTGAGCATTGGTGAATTTACGACACATTCCGAAATCGAGTACATAAATTTTTCGTAATTCATTCAATTCCGGACGACCAATTGTATAGTTTCCGGGTTTCACATCTCTTAAAAGAAATCGCATTGTTTGTATAATTACGAAAGTGCTCAGGAAATTTATTTCAAAGATCAAAGATCGTGCTGATAATATCCATATGGAATTTCAAGTTAGAAAAAAAAATTGTTGAACCTGTGAAGATAACCAATTGAATGAAGATCTTCCAGTGCTTCCAGTGCTTGAATTCCTGCACCAAGTGCTGTACCCATTGAAAGATGTTGTCCTGGACCTGCTTTACGAAGATCCTAAACTTTTTAAATTTTTAAAATTTTTAAAAAATTTTTTGGAGCACTTTGCTTTTTCAACATCAGCAAATCTATTCCTTTTACACATTTATTGCACACATTCATATGCATTAATAATTTAATTTCTACTTTTTTCTTTTTTGTTCAGGCATGTTATTTTTTTAATTTCTAATTTTTTTTTTTTTTGTTCAAGCATTTAATTCCGACTTTTTTTTTTTGTTCAGGTGTGTTATATGTTATTTTTATCGTTTTTATTTAATTAATAATATCACCTGTAAACTTTTGCCAACTAAAGTCATAACGACATAGTTGAATGATCCGAAGCGTCCTTTATCTTCGATTTTGCAAAAATGTCGATTGTTACGTTTGTTCAGCTCAGTAAGTACGAATACCTCCATTTTAAGTACCTGAAAAAAATTTACCATCCTGTCTGATGAAATCAAAGTTTTAATTATAATATTTATCATGGTATGATAAAAAAAAAATCATGGGAATGCCTGAATTTGCTCGTTGACACCTTCAACTTTTAATGCATACTTTCCGGTTTGATCTGATACCTATAATATAATAGGGAAGAATTTTTAGAAATATTTTAGAGTAAAATTTTTTTCCTCATATTTTAGCTGTTTGCCTGAAAAAAAGATCTACCTGGTTGATAAAATCAAAATTTAAATTAAACTTGAGAAAAAAAAAATTTTTTTGAGAGAAAAAAGCAGGAAAAAATTAATATTTTCTGAAATTTTAATTTTTTTTTTTAAAACGAAATTTTAATAATTTCGAAGCATACCATATAAACAGCTCCGAAGCCACCTTCACCAAGCTTCCTATCAATATGCCAACGGTCAACCTGATCACCGGGATTAAGTTGCACTAGTTGTTGGGCCATTCCCGATTCCGAAGTTACTGTACCCCTCTATGCCTTATTTATGTAATCATAAAATAATTCCTTTCAATTAACTTCAACCATTTTTATAATCTTTTTTCTGGACCAAAATTTGCATGGTTTATTTCAAATTTAAAATCTTTCATGCAATAGCTCAAAAAGAGAAAATTAGCATCGTTAATGCATCACAAATGAATTTATGAAAAAATTATGTAAATCATTTCGATATTATTTTTTTTTTAAATAATTTTTTGCTAAAATTGAAAATGAGAACAAAATAAGTTATCCTACAAAATTGTGTGTTTTTTAGTCAATTAATTTTCTCCTTAACAATCATGTAACTTAATTATTTCATCGTGTAAGGATTGAATTAATATAATTCTTGATTTTCTTAGCTTAAAATTAGCTTTGATTTGATAGCCGGTTTAATTTCGGCAGCATAAGTTTGCATATTAGGATGAATTCGAACTTCTATTCAAAAATATCAGAATGTTTGTGGTTAAAATGGCTTAATTAATGATATTCGATAAAATATACATTATGAACGGATCTGAGCAACAAATAATGAATGTATAGAAAAAATTGATTGATGCAAAATTAACAACGGTACCTTAGAATGCTTATGATAATAATTGGCTTCTTCGAACAGATGCAATTGAATTTCAAAAAATTATTAGGCTTTTTTTTTCGATTAGCTATATTAAATACATTTTAATAAGAATATCGTTTATTTAAATAAACTTTGCATAATCATTTTTCTGTATTTTTTCACTTCTTTAATTTATGCGCTTCATCTAAGCTTAAAAGTAATCAGGCTTGATATGGCATCATCTGATCACTCATCTGTTTATTTGGCTGCTAAGTGATGTGAGTGATGGGACTGACCTCTCGGAGCAATGAGTCATACTATGTTTACTCTTTTGTTGGGCGGTACTCGGTAAGTATTTGATGTGGCAGACAATTTTATACTTGAACGGAGAAATCACGGTTATTCGATGGGTAAACAAAGGTCATGTGATCGGTAATAGATGAAACGGATTGCAATAAACAATCGTCTAGACATGCAATCGATAAAATCGATCGTTGATCATCCAGACATGCAATCAATAAAATCGATCGTTGATCATCCAGACATGTAGTTGATCGTGCAGAAATGCAATTGATAACACCGATCGTTATTCGTCCAAGCATAAAATCAGTAAAATCGATCGCTGATCATCCAAACATACAATCGATCGCTGATCATCCAAACACACAATCGATAAAACTGATCGTTGATCATTAAGAAATAGATAAAACTGTTGAGTTAATTATCCGCACACACAATGGATAAAGCTAATGGTTGATGAATGATCATCTAATCCTTCTTTATAGAGTTTAGCAGATTTTTTAGCTTTCGCAGACATCAGTAATTTGAATATTTAAAACTAGTTAATCATTTATGTTTTCTAGTTTTGCGCAAAAACTGCAAGAATATTTTGAATTTATATGATGACAAAGATGATTGTCATTTTTATCGTTGTTATTAGCAATTAATTCTTTTTAGTGATAATCTCAAAATAACAGAGCGTTGTAATTTGGAGAAGGCATTAATTTATGATGATAGAACGAACAAATAATTATTAAAATGAAGTTTAATTATTGTTTTCTGTTAATTTTCGTTCATTAATATTCTGGATTATATGTTAGGCTACCATCGCTTAAGCTTTTATTTCCGGATCTCAATGAAATACTATTCCGATATTATGCTCATTTCCGGATCCCAATGAAATACTATTCCAATAATAGCACAAGAAATTTAAGAAATTTTAAAATTTTTTCGAAAATTTGGCAATCATATTTCCTAAAAAATGCAGAAACGATATTTGCAAAATTTATATATTTTCTTTTCACGGAAAATTAAGAACTAATCAAAACAGAGCTGAAACTATTGCTTAATGGCAAAATGGTACCTTAAATGTGGTACTTCCACATTTATTTTTAACTATTTCAAAAATGAAACTAAATGCAAGTAATAATATGTAGAATTCTTCTTGAAATCTTTTCTCAAGTTTATTATCTTCTTTTTTTTGCGGAAAATTGAAGACTAATCAAAATGAAAGGAAAATGAATTGAAAGAATGAATTAATTTTAGAATGCATCCAAACCGATGGAATCAATCCCATTTATAGTTGAATTGAAATGAAATGTCATTGCTGCAAATGAAATGTAAACAAATTTGCGGTTTCTTTTTTTTTGAAACTTTATTTCCGGAAAAAAAAACACGACAGAAAGAAAGCTTTAATTGTAAATGATTGAAAAAAAAATAGATGAGAGAAAAGGCATAATGCGAAAGAATTCCCAAATAAAATCCATCGTAGTCAGCATAATGTAAAGGTGAAAAAATTATTTGAAACAAAGGTGAAGAGTTCATTTGGAATAGATAAGAAAGGTGGAAAATAGATAAAATATTCGAACATTTATAAATCGGCAGCATTGCACGAATTAAAATATTGAAATAACAAAAATTAGAAATGAATGAAAGATTGAAGAGAGCAATTTTTCCATTTCTTGTTCAAATAAATATGCGCAAATTAAATTATAAATGATAGAATTCAAAGAATAGCTTGCTATAAGATAAAAAAATTTTAAACAATAAAAGCAACAATATATTGAAATGACATATGAAATTAGCATTGAGAATTCACTAGAAGACAAAAGTTGATGATTTCAAAAAAAAAAAAATTTATATACAAAAATGGCGTTTGGCAAAAAATCTACTTTGGAATTATTTCCCATGATTAGGTGAAACAGAAGAAAAACGACCATTCATTCCATTGGATACACGGGATCGAAATATTCCGTAAACAATTTTACATATCTCAATTTATTTTTAAAATTAAACCATTAGAATTATCAGTAAACACTTCACCAGTACGATCCACTAGCAATCTTTATCACAGCCGCAATGCTATTTCCGTTCGGATATAGCAATCCCGAAATCGTTATTAAAAGTAAAATTTCATTTCCCTAATAAAACTTTCCCAATAGGAATTTTTGTGAAAATATTTGCAAAAAGGAACCTGTACTTTAGTACAAAAATACATGAAACAATGTGCTTTTAAGTATAAATTACTTCTGTAATCACACAGATAATCACAATTTGTGATTAATGAAATGATGAATAATCATGATATTCGCGTCAATGATTAACGGAGATTTTACAAATGTATTGGGATAGTTGCAGGATGTTTTTTTTTTTCTCATTTATGTTGTATATGAACATGTAATTCACGAAAAAAAAAAGTATGGCAAATGCGTAAATCTTATAATGTAATATTTTTTTTGATTGAATTAAATGTCATCACTAAAAAAAAAAATAAAATTTAACTTTACCAAAAGCAATGAATCTCATGTGATTAATTGTGCCAGAATAATTTTGATACAATAATTATTAAATCTACCTATTTCTGTAAATTAATAATAAATTCACTTATAAATCATATGAATTCCGCATTGATGCCAAAAAATAGTGTATCAAACTGAAAAAAAAATGAAAAAAATTTGCATAATTTAATATGGTGCATTTTTTCCCAAAATAACACTTAAAAGTTTTGCGCCACGTCATTTCAAAATTAATTTTTGGATGAAGTTTTATAGCAATTTATTTGAAAGTTTAGAGTTGCATATCAAATATCAAATATATTCCGCACTCCTACCTTCCTTATCAAGTTATTTCCGTATATATATA